TATATTTGTTATACTTATTTCTGTTGAGCCGCGGAAAGAGGACCGATTTCGAAGGACTTCTTCCAACGTGATTTAATGCACAGAAGATCCGCGAACAGTGATTCCTTCCCGCGGCCAGAGTATTTATTAAATTATTATAATTGCCTTGATGTGTGTTCTCAAATTTGAGTTTGAAGACACTAAGACATGTATTTTATTTTGGGTTTACAAGAAGTACTAAAAATATATAACTTCAAGAAAGTTAAATCAAAAGTTAATAGTTACCAATAAAATGTAACTAAATTAAGTTAAAAGTTAAGAGCCTAAAATGTAACTAAGTTAAGTTTAAATTACTTAACTTTTTAACTATTTAACTTAACTTTTATCTTTTTAACTAGCACTACCCAACCCTGTACAGAACATATAAAATGATTTTTATTTATTTTTATGAATTAAAAGAAACATCGGGAATAAATTAATAAATCATTATAAGAATCATAAAGATTTTAAGGTAATCAAGATATCATTTACCTGGACAATCAGTTAACCAATTGTATTTGATTTATCTGTTTATACATTAATTCCACATAATCTTTAAATGCTTGCTCGCCCTATTTCTTATAATATTTATTTCTTAGCTTATAAATTTCTTTGATTATAAATTTGGACTAGATAATAATTTGACTATCACACGATTGACTCTCACATTTCAATGGATTATTTTACCGAATTTTTCGCGATTTATTTTGTACTGAGGATGACTCGATAAGAGTCGAAACGTTTGCGCTCTAATTTTGTATCGATTGATTGTAGGTATATATTTTATTTAAACACACTTACATCTTGTGTCGGCTTATATTGGCTTCTTTTATATTCATTGATTTATTTCATTTAAGCCTAAATTCATCCTGAATTTGTTATTTCTTAAAGCTTTCACCTTTTTTTATATTGCAAGGCCTTACAAAAGTCGCTTTGCCAGATCATCTAATGATATCATATCGCTCTCAGATATTCAAAGAAATATGGAATGAGCAACAACTATATTCAAATCATCAACATCTCGTTGACAAAACGATCAACAACTTTGTTGTCAAGAGAATCGATCTGTCTCCAAGTTTATCTCAGTCAACTCTCAGTAAGGACTGTATGGCAGAAAACAAGACTTTAGCGTTTACGTCTGCCGTAGAATAAGACAGAGAGAAAGCTATAAACGTATATAAGTCTATATACGAAAGTCTATACGGTTATGTATACGTTTTTCTCTGGCTTTCCTTACATTCTTGACTACACGGAAAGAATAATTTTGCTGAATCCAGATCTGAAAATAATTTTTGTTCAATAATCAAAATAATTTTGTGCAAAAGTCAAAGTGATTGCTAGAATATCAAAACGTTTTATAGCAATGCTTATCAGTTTTAACATTCCAACAAATTATTTTGATGATTCAACAAAAAATTATTTTCAGATCTGTTTTTAGCAAAATCTTTAGATTTTGTTGACCTTTCAACAAAATCGTTCTTTCCGTGTACGGATTACTTCTCATTCTCTGCCATCAGCTTAACTCGAATTAGCTGAATGAGAATTACCTGTCTATTCCAATAGAAACATATATATATCTCTGTTTTTAATATTTAAATATACTGTACATGTATTTTTGAAAAAAATTCGAGGGAAAATAAATTAACCAATTTTATCATTTACATGTGGTAACAAAAATCACAGAAAATATCAGAAAATGTATGTTTTTTTTATTTAAAAAAATCACTGATAATTCTGACTGCTTCAGTATGTTTAAATCCAATAATGCAGGAATTTGGAAATTAATTCAGACAAGACTCGATCATCAACATGGCTCGATCCGCGAATTCGGTTCGTCGACCGATTTTCGGATGGTACACGTTTCATCACGTTCATACGACGAAAACGCAAGTCGGTCGATCGGTTGAGGCTTGTCATCATCGACAAATGACGTGGGATTCACGGGGCAGTGGATACGCGAGGCCCGAGAACGCGGGGCGTGGCACGCGCGATGCGTACACAGCAAGGGGATATTCTGATTTACGCCGCGGGCAAAACAGCCGTTTCTCGAATCAACTCGACCCCGGGGCCGCGCCACCGCCATCCCGTTTGTCCGCGCGCGCTCGGGGTTACTGTCGACTCTATAATTTGGGGTTAATTCACCGGGCGGCACTCCGAGAGTTCAGGCGTCAAACCGCAGATCGATAGTTCCGCCCGCGCGCACCGTTGGGGTTGTCATGTAAATGTTGCGTGCATAATACCCCCCCGCGTCGTGCCCGCCACCGCCGCCGCCGCCTTGCGGCGATCCAGGGCCATTTCCACGGCGATGACCGCCGTAGACGGGCCTCCCCGCGCTATCTGCTATCTCCCCCTGCGTGCTGCACAGACGCGCGTATGCGCTGCAGCGCTGCAGCATGCACACCTGATTTAGGCGGCACTCCGACATTCCGGCGGAAGCTGACTCGCATTCTCCGCGAGAGTCAGCTCGCGGCGGACCACCCGCCACGGACTGGGGCTGTTACTTTTTACCTATTTTTAATATTCGAAGCTTCGAAGTTTAAGGTGCCTTCGAAGCTTTGAAGCTTCGAAGTTTTGAAAAATACATAAAAAATTTGAATTTTCTTAATTGTTTTACTGATCATTATCTTTTCTTATTTACACATGTATCAAGTTTAATTATTAATTTGTAATTTTTCAAGTTATGATACTTTCAAATTTTTTAGGAATAATTTCGTATATATATTAATTCTTTTTATTTATACGTTGTCTAGATAATACGTTTCGCTCAAACATATATATATTTGAATTTACGCGGCTTAAAAACGCACTAGATTATTTATTGCGATGAATGTTATCACATGCCTCGGTGGTCTAAAGATAAGACGCCCGTTCGGCAAAGTGGAGATCCGGATTCGATTCCTGGCTGAGAACATGAGGTGATAATTTTTTCGCAATAAATTCTTTACTGATTCGTATAGATGCAAGTTAGCATCTATTTGATGTCGCGAGGGTGCAGGATTTTCACAAGATTTAAATAAATGCTTTAAGCATCGATTTATTAGATTGCCTTTGGCAATTTAATTTGTGATATTACATACTACTTGGTTCGGAGCTGCGGAGATGCGCGCGATTTGCGGCCATGTGGTGTTACACACAGAAAGAATGATTTTGTTGAAATATCTAAAAATTTTGCTAAATACAGATCTGAAAATAATTTTTGTTCAGTAATCAAAATAATTTGTTAGAAAGTGAAAAATGATAAACATTGCTATAAAATTCCGTGCATGAATCGAAAAATTGTAAAATTCACATTAAAAAATTATATGGAAGCACCAAGATCCGCTTTGTACCGTGTTGACGTTTTAAGTTCTCAATTGTTAATTCTTTTTATTTACAATATTTGTAAATTTTCTGGATAAATTTATCATTTGCACGAATGTATTTTTCGAAACTTCGAAGCCTCGAAAGAATTCGAAGATTTTAATCTTCGAAGCTTCGAAGTTTGAATGTCGAAGCCTTCGAAGCAAATCACCAGCCCTACCACGGGAATAATCCAAAAGATCGGCCCGGTTAAGGCCATCACACCTACAAAAATTTTAATCGTAACGTCGTAAGCATATTGATCAATCACAGTCAAATATTCTTAAACGTAAGACCGCAATTTTGATCGTGATTGGTCAATCTGCTTACGGCCTTATGATTACGACTAAAATTTGTGTACGTGTGATGGCTTTTACTGTCATAAAATCTCCGATTTGGATCAATCGAATTGGACCGACTCAAAGTCGAAAATTCGAAAATTAAGCTCCGACATTGATTTGATTGCAAACGAGAAGTTATCGCCGTCGCTCTGAAATTACTTTTATACAAGTTCTCCTGTTGCTCGTATTTGCGCGATTTTTCCAGTCTATCTCGGTGTCGCATTTGTCTAGAGACACAGGTTTGTTGCTCGCAGCGAGAGCTGCAGCGGGTTGAAAAATTCTCTCTCCTTCTCTTACTCCGAGCGCGACGACAATTTGAAGAAAATCCCCGACTATCGTACGGAGATTTTCCCTGGGATATTCCCCGTTTGCGCGCGTGTATATACGCGGACACTGCGCGTACGCTACGTATAGGGTAGATTTAGATGTGCACTCTCCGCGAAGCACGCCGCAATTCCAAATTCCTACAGCTGCAAACTGGTTGCGCAACCGATGTGGTTTTGCCTGTGGTAATATTGTTGCGCAATCCACCGAGTGAAAATAAACACTCTTTCCGCTCGCAACCTCTCCAGTTATTGTCGCAGGTTCGGTGGTTACTTTAAAAGTTTTGTCAACACGTATAAAACGCTACGATTAAATATGATTATTAAATGATAAAATTGCAAAAGAAAATTAATGACGATCTACGAAAACAGATTAATCAAGAATATTTTAGAAAGCATTAATTAATAGACAAAGCGTTAATACTAATTTATTAAGTAGAGTATCAATTTATCAAATGAGAAGTTAAAATTGAGTACCAATTTATCAAATGAGAAGAGTTAAAATTTATTAAATACAATTAACGTAATAATATTGCACTTCAATAACAACCAAGACACAAATAAATAGCTCAATTAAAGGAAAAATAAATTTTGACGATTTAAAATCTTATTTTCCGAACATTAGATGATAATTAAGAATGTAATTAAGTCAACCTTCTAAAAGTCTTGTAGGACTTTAGTCATACTTGCATTTTTGCTGAGGAAATTCAGCTAAAATTAGTTGGAAATGAGAAGTACGTTTCAATTTGGACCAAACAGGTTAATCTTGAGAGTCAATTTAACACAGTAGTCCGTAACACATTTTGTAATCGCAATTCAAGTGAGAAACTTACGCAAAGTTTCTCTGAATTCCCTTTCCTGCAATTCAATAGTCGAGTTTTGAGCTAAAGTTCTCATAATCTATATCTTTTGTTGAATAGCAACTTTTTTTATTTCACGAGTAAATCAATCTTTTCGACAATCGATTTTGGATTTCCAGACGCCGCGCCTCAACTTCTGTACAAGTTCATCGAGCAGACGATGCAGCCGGGTCCCTCGGTGTCGCTCAAGTGCATCGCGATGGGCAACCCTACGCCGCACTTCTCCTGGACGCTGGACGGGTTTCCTCTTCCGCAAAACGACAGGTAGGACACAAGCGACACTTCCTTGTGCCAACGTCTCTCCTCGGAAGAGACGAGAGGAAGTACGGAAGCGCGCGCGCGTGGTATTCTGAAACTCGATCCACCGGCTTCGCGGCTTTTTACTCCTTCTCTTCCGCCGGCTGGATAGATTTACGGTAGCAAAAATCGACGGACGATGCACACGCGGGAGAGATTATTCGCGGTTATTAACCCCGAGGAGATTACGCGAGATATCGCGAGGAAATCGCTGTTTGGAAGCGCGGCTTCCATCCGGCAGGGTGAGATCCCGCGGGTGAGCCTCGATAGGCCCCCGCGGGCTTCGATTCTCTGAACCAATTGAGAGGAAAATTACCAATCACGCTGTTCAGTCTGGACGTTTTTAAAAGCCGGCCGGATTTTCGAGCGATGGATTTAACCGGGCGCTCGCATAAGTCGAGGATAACCGGCGACCGGGGAGGAGATAATTTTCGCGTTTCCGCCGCGGTTCGCCGGCGGATGATTATCGCCGGCGGCGAGTCGCGATAAGAATAATCCTGTCGGGGAAATCGTTACGAGGAGAGTGTCCTCTCGCAATGTGGGAACATCCGGCATGAGAAATAGATCTCTCGTTAATTAAGCAAGAATTCTAAAACTCAAATTGTGCTAACAAGGAGAAGGCCAGGTCAGTGCATCACGGATCCTGATTCAAATTTTTTTGGTGAAACTAGAGGCAAAATAAAGATATTTTTATGTAAAAAAAATCGTACATTACAATATAAGTAATAAAAAAATGAAAAAAAAAAGTATTTAAAAAATTGCAACATCCAGGAATTGAATATGGATACTCCCGGATTGGAAATCAAGCCCTTTACTCACCGGGCTATACCGTTGTTAGGTAAAAGACAGATATCGCTTTTTATTATTAAATATTGAATATTATTATTTAAAAATTTATTTTTCGAAAATTCTTACTCGAAAACTAAGGCCTATTCAATCGAACGTTCGGATGATAACGTCTATTAAGCTGACACAGCCACTTTAGCACAATCGAATAAAACATACACAGAAATTTAGTGCTCTTTTGATGCTAATTTGATGCTCAATTCCCGATTTTGATGCTCCAGCCGATTCGTAGAAAACAATGGCTGTGCTAACTTAAGATTTAAGCTAGCACAGCCATTAAAAAAAATAAAAAAAAATAAAAAAATAGTACATATTCTTTTAGTGCTAATTTGATGCTAATTTGATGCTCAATTTCTGATATTGTTGCTCTACCCCGAACCCTTAAAAACCACCCCTAACTATCCTATCATCAGCACACCTCAAAACGGCAAATTAATCGAATATCTCGATAGATTACGTTTCCCTGATTTTGTTGCTCGCGATTTGCAACAAATCCGATTTTGTTGCTCTACCCCGAACCCTTGAAAACCACCCCTAACTATCCTATCATCAGCACAACACCTCAAAACGGCAAATTAATCGAATATCTCGATGATTACGTTTCCCTGATTTTGTTGCTCGCGATTTGCAACAAATTCGATTTTGTTGCTTCACCCCGAACCCTTGAAAATCACCCCTAACTATCCTATCATTAGCACAACATTTCAAAACGGCAAATTAATCGAATATCTCGATAGATTACGTTTCCCTGATTTTGTTGCTCGCGATTTGCAACAAATTTGATTTTGTTGCTTCATCCCGAACCCTTGAAAACCACCCCTAACTACCCTATCATCAGCACAACTCCTCAAAACTGTAAATTAATTGAATAATTTGACTAGTACCCACACTGAGAAAAAATTTTATTGAGTTTTAAAAATATTTAGATACATAGTAATGTTTAGTTGAAAATTAACATTTCTATGCTAATACAAAATAAATGTTAAACAATTTTGATGATTAATAAGAATAAATTATACTTTACTTTGTGTAGCTAAATAATTGTTGAATCAAGCATTAGATCGAACTATACAAATTTATTTCGTACAACCAATTTTTTTTCTCAATGCATATATTTATATATTTTTTCGTGATTAGCTGAAGTCTTGCTTAATATCTGCAAAAAGTTTATAAATAAATTAGATCTTTTCTAAATTTAAATTTTTTGAGAACGTGTCAATTTCATCATCTTGCCCTCATATATGAGCAAAATGACTTTTCATTGTAGGCAAGATAAAACAATTGAAAATAAATATATGCATTGAGAAAAAAAATTGGTTGCACAAAATAAATTTGTATAGTTCGATCTAATGCTTGATTCAATAATTATTTAGCTACACAAAGTAAAGTATAATTTATTCTTAATAATCATCAAAATTTTTTAACATTTATTTTGTATTAGCATAGTAATGTTTAATTTTCAACTAAACATTACTATGTATCTAAATATTTTTAAAACTCAATAAAATTTTTTCTCAGTGTGAGTACTAGTCAAATTATTCAATTAATTTACAGTTTTGAAGAGTTGTGCTGATGATAGGGTAGTTAGGGGTGGTTTTCAAGGGTTCGGGGTGAAGCAACAAAATCGGATTTGTTGCAAATCGCGAGCAACAAAATCAGGGAAACGTAATCTATCGAGATATTCAATTAATTTGCCGTTTTGAGGTGTGCTGATGATAGGATAGTTAGGGGTGGTTTTTAAGGATTCGGGGTAGAGCAACAATATCAGAAATTGAGCATCAAATTAGCATCAAATTAGCACTAAAAGAATATGTACTATTTTTTTATTTTTTTTATTTTTTAAATGGCTGTACTAGCTTAAATCTTAAGTTAGCACAGCCATTGTTTTCTACGAATCGGCTGGAGCATCAAAATCGGGAATTGAGCATCAAATTAGCATCAAAAGAGCACTAAATTTCTGTGTATGTTTTATTCGATTGTGCTAAAGTGGCTGTGTCAGCTTAATAGACGTCGGATGATACTATATGATTTTTGAATTTTAAATTTATTTTTTAAAAATTCTTACTCGAAAATTAAGGCCCACATTCAGAGACTATATCTTTATTTTGCCTCTAGTTTCATAAAAAAAATTGGGATCAGAATTCGTGATGCACTGATCTGGCCTTCCCCTTGTAAGTAGAATAACCTATAATAACCTATAATACAAGTTGTCGATTTAATTTTAAGTTTCAAAAAAATAATGGCTAGCATTTATTTTCAAGATAACAAAGAGTGATCCAAAAAATCGATTTTTGGGCCCCCGATTTTCGAATTAAACGGTGTACCAAATGGTACCTTATATAATGAGACATTAATCACAGAGAAGTTTCAAGTTTAGGTGACATTTGTTATCAGAACTGAAGAGGGGGGGGAATCAAATTTATTGTCGAATTTTAAGAGAGCTCCAAAAAACGGGCACTCGATTTTGGGACTTGGGGAAATGTTATTTGAGGATTTTGGGAAATGTGTGTCAAATGGCACTTTATAATCAGACATTAATCACAAAGAAGTTTCAAGTTGAAATGACAATTGTTATCAGAGCTGGAGGGGGGGGGGAGAATCAAAGTTATTTATCGAATTATCACAGGTCTGCGAGATCCGGTGTTTTAAGAAGGTTGATCCAACCTATGAAGGCAAGATGAACTTCTGCAGAATTTTACAAATAACGCATGGCGACGTTTTGAACGTAAAAAAATCGGGTTTTCGCGGAAAGAGACGCAATATACGTATTACATGACTCCCCTCCCTCCAGCTATAACAATTGTCACCTCAACCTAAAACTTTTCTGTGATTAATGACTCATTATGAAGCACACAATTCAGTCCCAAAATCGAGGAGCCAAAAGACGGGCGAAAAAACCCCCTTTTTGAGTCTCTCTTTGAGTTTATTCTCATATGCTACGTTTTAAAATATAGATATCGAGCGTATCAAGTCTCTGTGCGTATAGAAAAAAAAATCTAAAAGACTCGTTTTTATACTAAAAAGTTTATTTATTTCTCACGATTCTTTTCAGACGTCTAACTGAACGAACGGCAAAAGAGGTCTGAAAAAAATCTAATTACTTTCGAAAATTCCTTCCAGACGTGCAATTTAGCGAACGACAAAAGAGTCTTAGCGCGCGGGCCGTCGACAACGTCGTCGAGTTCACGCCCCGCGCGCGAACGGGGTCGGGGTAGTTTTCTCGAGTACTTAGTTTTCTCACCCCGCGGGAGGGGGTGGGCGCGGCGAAATCGTTGCCGGCACGCTTGGCAGATAGGCGCTAACGGGAAATACCGATTTGCTTGCAGATTCATGATAGGCCAGTACGTGACGGTGCACGGCGACGTGATATCCCACGTGAACATAAGCGCCGTGCGGGTGGAGGACGGCGGCGAGTACAGGTGCTCGGCGGTGAACCGCGTCGCAAGGGCGCATCACGCCGCGCGGCTCAATATTTACGGGCTGCCGCATGTGCGGGCGATGGGGAACTACGCCGCCGTGGCCGGCGAGACGACCGTCATCAAGTGCCCCGTCGCGGGCTTCCCGATCGCCAGCATTACCTGGGAGAAAGGTTCGTCAATCACGGTTATTCCCCCCATCGACCCTGTTTCTACCCCCAAGAAATCCGACGCTATGTTTTATTGTTTTATTTCTTTATTTTTTTTTTCCGAAAAATATACGCTAGCTTGATTAATCGAAACACTGGTGGACCACCGCTCGTGGGTAAACATCACGATTTTACATAGCGCGGTTATTGTCGCAACTTTGATTTTTTTTTCGACGAAAAGTCTGAGCTCTCTGTATGAGGAATTCTAAAAGCAATCATTGTTCAACTATTTTCTCTTTCTAGTAAATACAGGGTAGTAATTGAACTGGATAGATCTTTTTTAAGTCAAAATAGAAAAAATGATAAACCAAAAAAATGTACGCCTTTTATTATTAGCATGATCTATCATTCTATGATTACATTTTTCTTAAACAATGCACCGATGCAAAATGCAATTGTAATTTTTCTTCTAATGGAATCGTATATAATTTTTTTAGCACAAATCGATTTTTCTCATTATTCTACATAGGTACAGAAGTATATCGTTACTGGAATCACTCTATATTCGTATAACACCGAATTGAAAACCTGGTGTGGAAATCGGAAGAGATGAATAATACTCTTTTATCGGGACATTTTTGCTTTACCATTTCATTGCGATACTTTTCAAACCACTTTTACATCCATCGCGAAATTAAATTATACGATTCTTCCGGCATTAAAAATTTGTCGCCTCGACATTGTGGCAAATTCTATATATAATGGCTTAATATATCGACATATTTTCCGATTTATACGCCGACATACTTTCGTATTTTTTACGTTAAATATATAACGTTGTGTTTTCTATAAAATATTGCAACGATTACACTAAAATTGGTCGTATGCAGTTAAAAAAAAACTCTTCACAATTTTCAAACGTTGCATTATTTATTTTTTTTTTTTGTTTAATATTCCAGTTCACCGATTTTATCGTGCATTTCAGACATTTGTGCTAATATTTGCATTTAGAGATTTCGCATTTAGAGAAAACAGGCATTTTCGTAGTTGCAATATGTATATCAATCATAATAAGGAATCGTTCCGATTTCAGCAATCGACCTTTCGACTTTATCGCGCGGTCGACCGCGCGAGCGAGTCTGCAGCACATTTTTTTCCTCCGCTTTAATGAGATCCACTGATCTCTATACGTGCCGCGTCTCTTATTTGTCTGAGAGGTCGAACACCACGGCCGGGCCATGGGTGGTATAGAATTAACCTTTAAATCACTATTATCGGTCTCACAGACCGCTATTGAAACGTTACTTGTCAACAATTTTCTTATTTGTCACCATTAAATATATTTTAATTCTATTGTATATAAGACTTTTTTGTTAACCCTCACGTTAAAACATAGTTTTTCTTTTCCCCATCAACAGGTATTCAGAAAACATACATTTCTATTATAATTAACTTATAAAATTAGCGGAAGCATAATAGCGGTCTGTCAGACCGATATTGTGGTTAGTGTGATTTTTTTGGGCGTGGTGGTTTAAATGTTAAACGCACTCGCGAAGATTAAAATACTCGAGACGCTACGAGGAAACGCATAAATAAAGCGGTCGTCGCGCCGCGGTCTTCGGACGGACGAAACGTCGCGCTTCCTTCAGGAAATTTCCCATCCGTCTTTATTGTAGGAGATCTTTCGGATCTCGGAGAAAGGCGAGCGCGCGCCTTTTTCCCTCCCCGAACTTCTCGGCTCTCGCATTCTCGCTCTCGACGCAAAGCGGACTGATTCGCGTATTACCGAGAGGTAGAGCGTGGAAAATCCTTTTATTTCGACCGAGATCGCCGCGGGCGGGACGGCCGACTTCGAGCGTTCCCTCTCGTAATGATGAACTCCGACTTCGGAGCTGGAAGTTTCAAACGATCGTTCCGCGAGCGAACTTTCCTCAACTCGTCGCGAGGACGCGCGCGACCACCTACGGCCATTTCGTCCATTAAGCACTGTGGCACAGTGCTTTTTAAGGATCTACAAAAATATCTGATGGCTGTAAAAGGAGCTACCGGCTTCTTGTACATTTTCTTTTTATTTTTACTGTTTACTGTACCCTTTTACTGTACCAGTTTTAGAATCAATACTTTATAGTTTATTTTATATCATGCTTTACATTACATTTGTGTACATTATATAATGCATGTGTTTAATTTTTTATTCTATTGCACCTTACTTTTACGTGTACCGTAAATATCACATGGAAAATGGTTCAGCTATTCCTATGTAAATATATTTTTTATACTTACATATTTTTAATATTATATGTACAGTCGAACCTCGATAACTCGAATCTCAAGGGAAGAGAAAAATCCTTCGAGTTATAGAGTTTTCGACTTATTCGTGTAAAAGAGGATAAACATATAAAAATTCGACTTACGGAGGCATTGTACGAAAGTTTATAATTTTCCGATTATAATGGCTTTTAAGGTAGTACACTCCCGACAATACCATCCAAAAGTTAGGTCTCTTCGCGCGCTCGGTGGTGGTATTCCCATTGCCGCCAGTGAGAAAAAACATTTGGTTGTGCCTATCCATAGACCGCACGCACACGCAGAAAAAATTAATTCAGACAGACGCAGACTAATGCAGCTCGACTGGCCGCCTCCTTCACTCGCCTCCATATGTCAATAAAAATCGAAAATTATATTTTTTAAAAGGCTCTATTTTCCAAACTAAATGGTAGAAATTTATGAATTTTTTTCATAATATCCGTTTCATATCCCTTCATCACGTACTCGTTTTTTATTAAAATCTCAATGTTAGTTTAGGCCCTACAAAAATAAACACGACAGTTTTATCAACTTTGTATAGGCGACACGTATAAAAATGCAATTTTTAATGCTTATATCTCAGTATTGAGATGGTCAATCTCGTTCTAATTGCACAAGCATGTCAACGACTTCTAGTATAACATATAGTTTCAATTTCAAGAAATTCTCAAGTATTTTGGAATTTGCGAGTGTACTACCTTAAA